CGGAGCGGGAGCTAAGATGCTCCTCTGCTAGCTGGAGCACCAAAACGGTGTGCCGTCTTGAACGGCCGGAGGCGATGCTTCTGTCCTGCCCTCGTCATGCACTCGGATCTTGTGCGACGGTTCAATGCAAATACTACTACTACTACTACTACTACTACCATTACTACTACCACCACTACTACTACTACTACTACTACTACTACTCCTGCTGCTGCTGCTGCTGCTGCTGCTGCTGCTTCTACTGCTGCGACTACTACGACTACTCTTCCTCGTAGTGTTACTGCTTTTCCTACTCCTACTGCTACTGCTGCGGCAACGGCTACTGCTATCGCTACTGCTACTGCTACTTCTACTCCTGCTGCTATTGCTCTGTGACTGCTAGTGTTACTGCCACTGCCGACTACTACCACCAGCTACTACTGGTGCTACTGCGGCTGCCACTTCGACTCACCATTGCAGATATCTTCATCATCGGGACCCTTAGCAACATCGTCATCGTTATCATCGTCATTGTCGCCATCATTACCTTCATCGTCGTCGTTGTCGTCGTCGATGTTGCCATCACTACCAGCATGGCTTTTCACAATCTTTCTCGCCATCATACTGAATCTTCATCATCATGATCGTCCTCATCTTCATCATAATCATCGGCACTATGGCGGTCATCTTCATCGCATCGTGACCATCATCGTCATCGTCATCGTCATCATCATTTTCTTCTTCACTATCAGCATCATGATCATCACGAGTGCCACCTTATCCTTGCGCTTGAAGTTTTAAGTCAATCTACAAGGCTCGCTCAGGTCCAGCCAAACATCAATCAGGAACAAGGCAGGTACCGAAAACAGAAACGATGACCTGTCAACAGAACAAAAAGCAGAGCCTCGAAAATTCGAAAGGTATTTTCAATGTGGGGCCTGATGGCACTAGCTGCCGAACTGGACAACCCGTATCTGAAAACGGGTGCCTTTGGAAAGCAGATGGCCGTGTGGTGTGCCGGTTGTTGCATTGCAGCTACATAGATCTCGTGGTCTTTTCAAGCCTTGAGTCTTCCCATGACAGTCACTGCCTTCATTGCCAAGCACAGTGTGATGTCAAGTGCATCAGACGTGACCGAAACATGTATACAAGCTCTTTCACATTCTCCGCACTCCGGCACTAGACGCTAAGGATTCAGTTTCGACAAAGATCTTGTCCAAAGCAAGCTGAACAAGGCACTATTGCTCCTTGCCTCAGGCACATACATCTGAATCACGAAGAAGCGCAGTCCATGTAGTGTTTCTCTCCATGGTGGCACGGCCTGCTGTCGTAAGGACCATCTTGGCGGAAGAGAGCCGGCCGGTAATCTGTCAGCAAGTGCAGTGCAAGGACCGATGTGTGATTTTGAAGGGTTGAATCAAATTTGTCAGGTGGCTCACCTAGAAGAGGCGGAGGACGATGCGTTCTCCGATGACCCGGATGTCGACGAGATACTTGTCTTGCATTGCCGTGATGCTATCCAATTCGGACATGTGTGAAGTATGGTGTTTCCAAGCGGCGAGAGAGTCAATAACCACAGACGCATTAGATGCGATCCCAAGCCAGGTCAAAGCTGGTACGGCTGTGACATTGGAATACAGATCCATGCGTTGACATTTGTCTCCAGCTAAACCATTGCTTGTAAGGCTGCCGAGGGAGGACATGAAGCTCCGGACCTACGACAGGTTGACTGCGGTCCTCCCTGGCCAGCCCGATGCTTGCCGGAAGGTACGTTGTCTTTGAGTGTGAGGAAGTCTATGCTCGGAGTCCGGGCACTAAGGACTGCCTAGCCAGATTCTAGTTGTAGTTTAGGGCATCCCCTCAGCATCTACTTTCTAATCCCTCCAAATCCCGCACAGAAAACTTTGGGGACTTGCTCTCCATGGTTCACGCGCAAGCGTGGACAAGGTTCACTCCCGTATGGTTACATGAGTGAGCTTGTTTACACAGGTATTTCCTGCGTTTATCCTTCGATCTCTTGTGTTTGTCCATGATCGAGCAAGACCTCTTTGCTCACTGTTCACTCATTCGCCCAATGCTTGATTGTCCACTCAGTTTTCTCGTGGGTCTGCCTGTTCAGATTCCTCCTAGCCACTTCAGACCTGATGTATCCTTTCATTGATTGTCTTCATAGCTTCGGGGTGTGCAAACTAGAGTGTGGGGCGTTCGCTCTGGGTTGCAAGTTTCACTCATCGGATCTGTGTTATTGCATACGGTTCATGGAAGTAGAGAACACTTGCGTGTCCGTGCCAGGATTGAGCCGTCTGCCTTTGCGCTGCGCGGCGAGGCCGTGCTTGCAGCAAGCGCTGCACGACGCGACCACATGGCGGAGTTACATCGCGGAGGCGGCGCTGATGGCGACATGCAGCTGCATTTCATCGAGCTGTCCATGCTATGCTACTGTTGCCGCTGTGTAACTGAATAGTGTTGCTTCTGATATACTACTGCTGCTGCTACAGCAACTAGTACTAGTACTAGTGCTGCTACTACTCCTTCTACTACTCCTCCTCATACTTCTACTAGTCCTGGTACTATTATTATTATTATTACTACTACTACTACTACTACTACTGCTGTTTTACACATACATCTCAGTACAGAGGGGGAACGGTAGGAGCAGGTCTCAGGCCAGGTAGGAGAAGAGTCCATTGGACAGAACAGTGTACCAAACTGCTTTGGCACTGGCTTTTAAAGTCCTCCCGGCAACCTCCTACCCGAAGCCCTACCTTCCCGTTTTCTTATCTACGCGCTCACAGACTAGCTGTAGACCGCCTCTTTTGGAGTAACTTAGTGAGGCTGCCAACGTGCAAGACACTCCTCACAGCCGACTCCTTCTCAATCTACTCACAGACTGTACATTAGGAGGAACGCTGCGTGAGAGTTGCATAGGGCCGCCCAAAACTACTACTACTACTACTACTACTACTACTGCTACTACAACTACAA